GTCCGGCCATATATATATATATATATATATTGTGGATATAAATTTAATAATTTAATTTAACTATGATATTCACACCCAATATTTTCTTTTTAAGCTACCTTGATTTAGTAATTTAATTTTTGGAGAAAGAAACATTCAAAATCAAATTAAAAACTATTCAGAACTCCAATTTCAACAAATATATAGTCAGATTGACCAACTCGATGAGACAGACCTAATAACACTAAAATTGATCCAATCCGAGTCAAGATAGGCCCAAATCAAGCATTAAGCTAGGTTTGGAAGGTATGGATGGAAAGTTAAATGGATTTTAAATTTGACAAGTTTATAATCAGATCGGGCATCTTGACGAGAAGAGTCCAACGAGCTCAAGAGAACTCAATTCTACCATCGTTAAGGTATCAAGTCTGATCGAAATAATCTCCTCATGTTCGGTGAATTGATCTCGATTCCTTCTTTATTTGCAAGGAGGTTTCTCCTAGACTCTACAAATAGAGCCCTGATCCGCCCCAACGATTATCACAATTATGTAAGTCTTGGTGATAGCTCCAGAAACTTAATCCGCTCCCTATTAACTTGATTGAATTCTTCAAATTATATATTCTTGCAAATTAAGGTTTCACATAAGTATACGTATCGTTTCAATAATATAAGGCTCTATTGAGTCTGGATTGTCGATCCCACAAAAAATTGAAGGAAATAACTCCTCCAAGAAAAGTTCTAGTTTACTACTAATAGTTCTTAGTTTAGAATGTTGATTCAGGTGGTTTCACTAACAATGACTCCTAAATTGCAGCACCAAGTTTAAAGCTAAACCTAACTAGATCAATTGGTTCAGTGAATATCAAGATGTAAAAACTACATATCTCTTGTGATTACATAAGTTGGTTGTAGGATATAATACTATGAATTATTATTATGGCTAGTGACAAATAACAACATATATCTTGTTTACTATTTTCCAATAGCGTAACAAAGTTTGGTTTTAACTTAGTAAATGTTCATGTTTGTAGCTGTATAAACCCCAAATTATACCCACTAAAACCTATCCCCAAAATTTTTTTTTCTTTTGTTAGATAAAGCAAGTTGTCCAGGTTGACATTGACCTGAAAGCTACCTCCAAATTTGATTCAATTTTTTTTTTTCATGACAGAAAAAGCCGGCCGGTCGTTTTCAAATCAGCATCGAATCTCCGTGGTCGGCTGGCTAATTAGACCGAAAAGTTAATCAGCTCAAATTGGTTTGATAATCCCATTCTGTTATAAGATTTTGCAAAATTTTTCAAAAGGAATTTGTAATAAAGTTTTGTTCATATATAATTATAAAAGATGAATAATCAATAAGAATTTAATTTGCCACTAATTATAAAATAAATTCAATTGCTTTGAGATGTATTGTACACAAGATTTTAATAGAGTATTCAAAGTTTATTTTTTCTTATGTTATATTTGATACATAATGAGATAATTCATCTTGCGAAAAACACATTTTAAGATTTTTTGGATAATAAAATTTTAGGAGTTAAATCAGAGATGATTCGAGCTCCAATTTCGAGAATTGTATAGGCTAAACTGAATATCTCGATAATACGAATTCAACGATAGAAGTAATTTGATTCGAGCTTTGAAAAGGCCAAATCAAGAACTGTATGAGTACTTAGAAGCTAAAGTGATTTCTCTCTCTTTCTCTTTTTCTCAAGTTTTACATTTTATTTTTTTGGGTGCGATTCATAGACAAATCAAGATTCAACACCTAAACTTCAATTTTTACATAAGTAATGCTTCGGATATGGATGAAAAGATTTATATTATTTTTTTGAAGGTAAAATTGTGCTATGTTTTAGGTGAAATAAAATATGTGAGTTTTATAATAGTTGTTTGCTCCGGAAAAGACATAATAGTGATTTTATGATGAACGTTTATTTTTCTAAATAACAGTGCATTTCAACATTTATTTTAATATTATAAGGCTAAAGAAATGCTTCTTTAGAAAGAACTATGGTTGGGACACTCATCAATGCCAAGAAAGTCTAGGGATATAAAAACTTGGCCTGAGATGTCAACTAGACTCAAAAAATTTAGGTTTAGGTCTACCTGAATATTTTTCAGGATTGGTTTGAGTTAGAAGTCTAAAATCGTTTAATTTTTTGTGTTGGGTTTGGGCCAACCCAACAACGCGAAAATGATAAGCCAACTTAAAATTTACTCGAACTCAACTAGCCTCTTTAAAATTGACCCTAGATTGACTCGAAATCTGCCTGCTTTGAGTTGTTGTGATCCCTTATATTAAATAGGTTAAATGGGCCCGGTTTGGGTTAGAGACTTGAGGGCGCATCGGATTTAGGTTGGACTTTTTGACCATTTAATAATCAGGGCAAGTTTGGGTCAAATAATTTTAGATTAGACCTAATTTAGATCAGACACAAACACGAGAACTCGAATGGACACCTTAAAAGAAACTCATGACGCCTACTTTTAAATACAAATTAATATATTTAGGGGCATTTACGATTATTTTAGTTTAAAATAAAAGAAATGTGATATTTTAAATAAAATTCATTTTACTGAATAATTAATAAACTAATTTTTATATTAAATGGTGGCATGCGCCCGCATTTAACCTTGGTGAGGATGATGGTGGCAAGTGAGCCAAGTGGCAACGACTGGTGGACGGTGGCCAATAAAGAAATTAAAAAAAGAAATACATTTCAAATCTTTTTAGAAGTAAAGCTGTATTAAAATATATGGTTGGTAAGTTTTTAATATAGTTTATATATGTTTAGAATTGAAATATAACATATTTAATATGCTAAAATAAAATATAATCATTTATTAAAATAATCACAATACTTGAAATTTATTTTATAGCTTTTTTAATAAATCGATTTAATTCTAAAATACCAAAGAAACAAATATTGAACAAATACTCTTTTATAAATTCGATCATGTTGGATTTAGAAGCTCCAAACACAATAATTGTTTTATATTTTTAATCCATTAAAAAAGTTTAAATTGTTGTTTTGACCCTTTTTTGTAGCTGCGTTTACATACAAACCACACAATTCTTATCTATTAGCATATCAAGTACTATTAGTATAAAAATCAAATGCTAGGAGTTAGATATGTAAATATATAGAAAAATTATTCCATACGGAGTGTCTGATCTCCATCGTCCGATAAATTTTTTATTTTTTATAGTTAAAACTGGGCCCACCGAAATACATTTTTGTGGTGATCGACGATGTAAATCGGACAACGAATGCATGTTCGTATAGATTAATTTATCAAATATATAAGAATTGTGTGTTATATATATGTAAATTTCCATTTTATTTATTATATATTAGGGAGATTCACATACATATCACTCAATTCCTATTTATTAACATGTTTAATTCCTAAACTTTAATTTTTACATACATATGCCAAATGAGAAGGTGTATTTCTTTTTTTTTTTTAAGTTAAAATAGTATATTTTAAGGTAATACTAAAAATTTGAGTGATATAAACATAAATGAGTCAAACTGACTTGAGCTCAGTTCATTAGCTCAGCTACTCTCATGAAACAGGTGTCCGAACGCCCGGACATAATACTCACAACTCACAAGCCACTTGTGGAGCCAAGTTCGGGTCCGAGTCGTCTGGCTCCACCTCATATGGCCCGGCCCAATCAACACATAAATTTATAATATCAGCGCATTAAAATAAGAGAAATTAAAAATATTATTATCCCTCGCTACACATCATGATTCATTCCTTTGGGCCCCTTCATCATAAACCCAGCGTTCTTCTCGCCGTCGCCGCCGGGATTCTCGTCGTACACGTAGGCGGAGCCGCCGTGGCGGGGGGTATCAAGGCCGATAAATGAGTCAAACTGACTTGAGCTCAGTTCATTAGCTCAGCTACTCTCATGAAACAGGTGTCCGAACGCCCGGACATAATACTCACAACTCACAAGCCACTTGTGGAGCCAAGTTCGGGTCCGAGTCGTCTGGCTCCACCTCATATGGCCCGGCCCAATCAACACATAAATTTATAATATCAGCGCATTAAAATAAGAGAAATTAAAAATATTATTATCCCTCGCTACACATCATGATTCATTCCTTTGGGCCCCTTCATCATAAACCCAGCGTTCTTCTCGCCGTCCCGGCCGGGTTCCTCGCCGTACACGTAGGCGGAGCCGCCGTGGCGCGTGATATCAAGGCCGGCCAACTCATCATCCGCCGATATCCTAAGCAGATCCATCTTCCGCAGAGCGTAAAACAGCAGCCCCATTGTCGCGCTCACCCACCCGCAAATCACCACTATCTGTACCGCATGGGCCGCCAACAGCCTCCCTCCGCCCCCCATAAAAAGCCCATACGGCCTCCCCGGCCTCCCCGGGCTCCCCGGGTACGCCTCATTCACGAACTCCTCCTTCGCGAACAACGCCGCGAATAGCACGCCCCATGCTCCGCAACCGCCGTGAAGCTGCGCCGCTTCCAATGGATCGTCGTAGTGGAATCTCTCAGCCAGTAAATTGAATCCGAGGAGCACCCAAGCG